GGGCAGCCTGGGGGACGTATAATCTACCTGGTGGCCCATCCCCTGGATCGGGTTCTTGTTGCTGTGCCTCCCATATGGTGTCCTCTATCTCCCATGTAATGGAGGCCACCATACAGGAGGCGGGCAGAATGGGCTTAGGAGTGTCATCAGGAGCTCCTTAGATGCTTGGCTCTAGTGGGATGAAGGAGAAAAAACAGTCTTCAGGTTGTCCAAAAACTCCGTGATGGTGGTAACGATGAGTAGGCCACTGGAGTCCGCAGCCTCGGCCCAAAACAGTGCTTTACCTCGGAGATGGTTTATGACATAGCTGATTTTCTCTCTATCCGTACGGTATGTCCGTGGTTGGTGCTCGAACACCCGGCGGCACTGCAGCAGAAAACCCCGGCATTTATCCACATACTGCTCTCCTGTTCCAATAAAACTGCTCTGCCTGTTGGTGTATATTGCCCTCTTCCTGGGCTCAGATCTAATCTCTGGTTCAACTATTCAAAGAATTCCAATAAACTATAGCTCCCCCGGGCCATTAGCCAGGTGGTGGTAATAAAGTAACTGTGGACCCTCTTTGCTAAAACTGTAAATCTAATGAGTTTTCAGTGTTAACCAGTGGCTCCAGTTGGCTAACACAATATACTGACCAGTGATTCAGTGCACACATAGGGTGATATGTAGATATGTAACTACGTAAACATAAACACAACTGTGAGATTAAAGTATATAAACGTATGTATGCTATATAATAAAAACCCTAACTAATTATATTCAATTCTATCTAAAAATGAAAATCACCCTAATACTTGCTGCGGCCACACAAAGCAGTCAAGAATGTCACATGTGTCTACCATTAATGTGGAAGTTTTACCTGAATCAAAAACCAACTTGGGTGGAATCAGGACATTAGCTCTTTTCTCACGGTGTGTGTGGGACCTTGTTTCCCCACCACAATATGGGTACCACTATAACTAGGCTAATGAGGCCCAGTACACAGAGAATCATACCAGGACAACTGTCTAAACTTGTCAGACTTGGCATTTTATCTGCTGTCCATGTCAACGTTTTGTTCTCTGATAGATATTACACTAGTGTAGGTCCTCTTCTAACTGTAGCTCTGGTTCTACAGGATAGTATATCAACTCAGGTAATGAGGTTCTCAAATCATCCTTGACCTCATTCACTGTCTGTCCAGCCGGATCCTCAGCTGGAGAACAATGTGTCTTATGGATCCAGTTACTTAGCTTGTTCCTCAGTGAGCCACAGTTTAACACAGTGTGTGGTAGTTTCTGCTACCTTGTAAGGTCCTTTCCAACATGGTTCTGACCAGTGAAGTTTATGCACCTTTCGATAGACCCAGCTGTCCACGGCAGCTGGTGTTGGTTCCTCAGGTTGGTCCCTGCTCAGGATTTCAATAACCTGTTCAAAGAGACTCATCACAGTGTTGTTCAGTCATCTGACATATTCACTCATGTCAGCATGCTGCAAAAGAAGAGGTGTTAAATCTCTAGGCATAACAGTTAGAGTACAGGGCATCTTCCTCCCTGGATTTCATGTGGGTTTACATTAAGTGTCGCATTCGGAGTGGACCTGAGGTTGAACAATACAATAGGTAGAGCTTCAACCCAGATTAAGTGGCTGTGCAGACTTCCACGAGCCCTTCTTTTATGGTTCTGTTTGCACGCTCAACAAGACCTTGAGAGGCTGCATGATAGACAGCCCCAAACTTGTGTTTTATCCCAAACATCTGTTCAACCAGACGTAGATCATCGTTTGAGAAGTGTGTTCCATTATCAGATCTGATAATCTCAGGTACCCCAAACCGAGGGATCACTTCTCTAGTGAGCCACTTGATTACCTCTTTACCAGTCTCTGTTTTTGTGGGTACAGCCTCTACCCACTTGGAAAACGGATCCACACAGACAAGTAAATATCATTTTATCTTCACCTCTTTTATCAGCTCCCATAGCTGTGAAATCATCAACAATCTCTTTCTAGGGAGCATCTGGAACTGGAAATCCCCCTAGCCCCGCCTTCAGCGTGGCTCTGGGGTTGAACTGGTTATATGTCTCACACATTGCAACGAAGTATTTGGTGATATCCCTCAAATGCGGATACCACCAATTTTGAGAGATCAGACTATTTATCTTGGAGCTTGCACAGTGTCTGCTGTGTGCCTCTTGACACAGCAAACTCAGTAGTCCTGCCGGGGCTACTATTTTGCCTTCGTGGTTTCTCCACAGTCCTGTCTGATCCTTAGACGCTCCTTTGCCTAGCCACACCTGCTTTTCAGTAGGAGCAGCTTTGCTCTGTATTTCCCTTATAGTCTGCAAGCTCAACTCTGTCTCACAGACATGACACCCTTCTGCAGGGTCTTGACTCATCTGTTTAGCTTCCTGAGCTACCTGATAACCACCTGCTATCTTGGCAGCCAAATCTGCTGCATTATTACCTCTGTTTATCTGAGTCTCTGTTCTCTGATGTCCCTTGCACTTGATAACTGCCACCTGCTTTGGTAGCAACAAAGCTTGCTCTAATTCCAGTAACTGCTGCAAGTGTTTTACCGGACCGCCAGTTGAAGTCACAAAACCTTTTCTCCTCCAGTGGCACAAGTCTACATTTACTGCCTGTACTGCATATGCAGAATCTGTGTAGATATTTACAACTTTGTGTTTTGACAACTGACACGCTTCTATAACAGCAATCAGCTCAGCCACCTGGGCTGAACTTGGCTGTGAAATCACATCAGCTTGCAGTACTCTTAAGCCAGCCGTTGTGTCCTCGACCACAGCGTATGAAGCAACTACACTGCTAGTGGCAGTCTGATGACTGTGACCATCACAGCACATTAGGTAATGGTTCCTTATGCAGGTTCTCATGCAATCTCATCTCTGTGTCTGTTTTGCTCACACAGTCATGATCTTCCTCAGTGACCATCTGTGTAGCCATGTTTGTTCCCTCACTTGTAAACTGTATGTGAGCCTGGTTCAACAGCTGTTGTAAGTTCTGGGTCCTGTGGGCAGATAATGTGAAAGCTTTGGAATCCAGAAATGCCCTGACACCATGTGTAGTGTGTACAACAGTTTGATAACCCATTGTGATATGTGAGGTCTTCAGTATCACTCGAACAATCGAAGTGACATGTCTCACACAAGTTAGATGTCCCTTTTCAACATTGTCCAACTTAGAACTGTAGTACATCAACACCTTTCAACACCTCTACTTTCCTCCCCCTTTTGAAATAGGATGGAATTCACAGTGCCATCCTTTTCATCAACATCCAAATGAAAAGGCTGGGAGTAGTCAGGTGCATGCAAAGCACATGCGTGTGCCAAAGCCTGTTTTATGGCAACAAAAGCCTCCTCTGCTTGTG